CCCACACCCACGCACGTCTGGGGGCATGGATCTGACCTTTGCGTTCTGCTGCGGACCTCTGCCCACAGCTGGGGACAGGAAGGCCGAACTCTGCGTGGCCTGCTGAACTAACTCTCACCTGGCTTCTGCTCAGGCTCTGTGGTTAACATCTCTGTGGCGCACAAACAGACTTTCTCTGAAAGTCTGAGTTTCTCTGAATCTCTGAGGTACAGGATTCTGAGAAACCCAGCGGCAGCCTGGCCACCACCATCAGAGCACCTGGTGAGTCACCCACACACGCCCAGGAATGATACCTCCATGTCTTACCACACAGTGAGTTTGGGCCCTGGTACTGATGCTGATGGTGACCCGGGTGGGTGGGAGCACAGAGGCCACTGCGCTCCTGTATCCCACAGACCTGCAGAGCCTGGCCACCCTGGGGCTCGAGGCCACCTCAGCCCTGCGAGGCTTGGGCCCTCCCCATCACCTATCCCCAGGGGGTTATTGTAAGAGTTAATAATGCAAGTGGCAGCTGGACATGGGACCTGGCACTGACTTGATTCTACTTGCAGCAACCCCTGAGAGGTGGCCAAGCTTGGCATTCTTGTTACAGGTAAGGAGATGGAGGTTCTCAGAGCTCACTGGTCACTCAAAGAACCCTCTCAATTGGTGGCGAGTGGGCTAGAGCCCTGGCATCTTGAGAGTTAAGATGGGCAGGGCTCAGGACACTGGGTCTGGTGACACTAAAGTCTCCTCTGAATGAATGGAAGTTGGCGAGGAGAGACACTTGCCTCCATCTCCCTCCAGTCTGTCAGAGCTGGCTCTGGCTTTTTCCCTACAGGTAACATTTGTGGGAATGAAAGCAACGGATGACAAAGAGGCTTAGGAAAAATCTAGGACAGGCTAGATCTCAAAATCTGGGGAGAAATGAGTTTCCCAGCTCCCCAGCTCCTGCACTCTGGGGCTCCTAGGATCATCTACTCATTTCCTTTCCCCCCTCATCCCCATACACTGCTCTTGGGTCATCACCCACATCCAGTGGTCCAAGCTCAGTCACTGCAAGGAAAGTGTGGTCCTGCTGTGTCCCTATCCAGGGGGTAAAGGAATTGGACTTCCTGAAGAGTCTCTGCTACATCCCTCTCATCTGGAGTTATGCCCTTCATTCACTCATCAAAGCAACACCTTGAATAAGAAGGCAATGCCTATCTCCCCCACTGGACCCCAAGCTCCCTGAAGACAAGGATCTTATTTTTCTTGTTCACTGAACGTCTTCAGCCCCTAGAACATAGTAGGTGCTCAATAAATATGAGTGAATGAACTGCTAAAGCTCAGGCCCTCTTTTCAAGGAGGGAAATGCAAGTTCTGGGCTTGGAGGGCTGAGGAAGACGTACTGTCCCAAGGTGAGGGAGTTTAGAGGAAATGAGCCCTGCTAGTCAGGGTATCAGGGAAAGTTACCCCCTGCTATAGTATCACCACCCACCCCCAAACTTAGTGGCATAAAATAACAATGATTTTGTTTGCCCATGATTCTGTAATTTGGGAAGGTTCAGCTGGTATACCTTGTCTCTGCTCCATAGTGTCAACCGGGACCAAAGGATCCACTTCCTTTGGTGGCTCACTCTAAGTTGGCTGCTGGCTGTTGGTTTCACCTAGGCCTCTCTGCAGAGCTGCTTGGGCTTTCTTGCACATGGTGACTAAGAGGGAGTATACCAAGAGACAGGAAGTAGAAGCTGCCTGTGTTTTTAAGGTCTGGGCCCAGAAACTGGTATTGCATGATGTCCACCATATTTTACTGGTTAAGAAGTCACAGAGCTAAGATTCAAGGGGCTCCTGATGGAAAGAATGTCAAAAAGTTTTGGGGCCATGCCTTAATAATCACAGAAGGCTTCCTGGAGGGGGAGTGAGCAGCTACAAACACTAAAGGTTTGAATGGTACCTGTAGCTCTCTTCCGTATGGCTGGAGCAGCCGTGGTTTCCTGCAGCAGCTGAGGCCTTGTTCCAGCTACCCTGAAGAAGCCTCCAGGCAACGGGCATGACAAATTGTATTCTCCAGAAGTGGCCATAGCACTTCCTGTCTCACATGTGCTTCTAGAACGTGGTCTACTTCATCAGCAACTGGAATCTATTTCCTTCCCCTTGAAACCAGATGGACTTGTGACTACTTCACTGGATGACTGCCGAGCCTAAGTCCTAACAGGTCAGGGGACTTCGGCTTGGTGTTCAGTATGCTCACCTCGCTCCACTCACTCACTCTTGGAATAGAGGCACTTGCTGCAAGGAAGCCCAGGCTACGGGAAGAGGCCACCTGTCAGTGTTCCAGCTGACAGCCCAAGGTAAGGTCCTAGCATCAACCGTCAGGCATCTAAGCGAGCCAAACTTCAGAGGATTCCAGCTCCCAGCCTTTGAGTTTTCTTCCACCTGAGGCCCCAGGCATCAGAGGCACCAGTGACAAACCATGTTCTGTCTGCATTCCTGACCCACACAGCTCCTAAGCATACCAAATGGTTATGTCCTACCAACCTCTGGGTCACTGGTTACACAGCCATAGTAACTGGCACAGTGGGCAATGTGAAAGAGAACATTGGGACCTCCCGAAAGCAGTTCCACGGCAGGAGTGGTCTGGTGGAACCCACCAGAGCAGTCTGGCCATTGAAGCTGGCTTCCACCAGGTATGCACTGCAGAGCAAGGGAGGCGTTTTGGACAGAGAGAACAGCTTGATGAAAGGGCCTAGCACGAGGCCAGTGGACAAGAGCACAGCCCTGTGGGGACGGGGTGGGTGGTGCAAGGGGCCGCCTCTCAGCCTGAGCACTTGGAGGAGGCTCCTGGGTCAGCTCTGCTCTCAGGCAAGGAGGGCAGATGGGTAGGCAGAGGCACAAGGCCCCTGGTCAGGCCCAGCGAGTAGGGACAAGGCCTCTGCTGTGGTGGGACGGGGGGGGCAAGTGGGCCTGACCAAGCCATGGGCCAGAGGCAGTGCTGGACCAGGGGCTCCTGACTGGCTGGATGTGGGGTGAGGAGCAGAAGCTGAGGTGGCAGGAGGTGATACCCATGTTGAGGGACGAGGGTGCCACTGGAAGGGCAGTGTACGATGCTCTCCTTTTTACAGCATGGCCTTTGCCAGCTGTCCTTCCTCTGGGAAGATCCCCTGGGGAGGTGACATCTACAGCAGCCCCTTCCCCCTCCCCCTCCTCCCCTCCCCCCTGTGACATCTCCTCATTCCTCTGAGACATAGACACACAGGAGAGTTCTCGCTGCTGCTGCTGCTTCCTCAACCTAGGGCGGGGATGACGTCAGGCCCTCAGGATCCTGATGGGCCAGAACTGACTGACGGGACAGCAGCGAGCCCACATTACAGCACGTGCCTGCTTGGTGGCTGTAAGTGCGCCCTCTACTCCGGTCTTAGCTCCTAGTGTGTGCTGACAGGAAGTGGGATGGCCTTCCCTCGCTGGAGGATGGCTGGCACGCTGGGCTTAGCTCGCTGGTCTCCCCTCAGAGCCTTCCAGAGCCTCCCTGGACGGAGGATTTCCCCTGGGCTCCCTTGGTCCTGAAACCTTTCCTGGTGTTCCTAGTACAGACAGGGGTCTCCTCCCCCTCTTTCCTGGCAATCTGGGGGCTCTGGTGTGGGTCAGCATCTGCGCAGCCTCACACTTGGAGGGCGTTGGGTGGAGTCTGCGGAGCGAACAGTGGGCTGATGCTGGATGGATTCTCTGGGTCAGCATTAACCACCCGAGCCTCCAGTCTGTCACCTTTTCGTGAGAAGGGTCCTTTCTCACAACAGATGTGCCTCTTAGGGTACATTAAGGGTGTCTGTGTGTCACCAGAAATCAAGAGGCAAAGGGTGTAGAGGCAAAGGGTGCTGTCTGTGGCAAAGGCAAATTAGAAAATTAAAGCTGTCAGCCATGGGTACTGCTCACTTCGGGGAGTTGGAATGAGGGTAGGGCAGGGAGCAGCAGCCCCCTCAGAGGCAGCACCGGCCCTGGGACTGGGGAGACCCCTCCTCTGCAGCAGGCACCTCTCTGCACAGCAGGTCTGCGAGGACAGAGGACCCACCTTGGCCACCTGCAGCCTCTTCCCGCTCACCCATCGCCCTGGCTGAGGGGGAGCCAGGGGCATGGCTTCTGCCTGAAGGAGGAGCCCTGGAAGGAAGATGTGTAAGTGCCATTCCCCCAGAAGCCTGCCCTGAGAGACGTGTAAGAGTGTGGCTCGGTTCAGCAAACACCATACGGGGGTGGGGAAGGGAGTCAGGAGAGGGAAGGCACCCAGCACCGACTTCAGCCTGCCCTCACCTCTCCTCAGCCAGTGGGGAGATGCAGGCAGGGCAGGAGGATGATCCAGCAGCCAGTACTAGTCTTCCCAAGGGACACGGTGAGGCACCAACCTCACCTGTGATACAGTCTCCGCTCCTGGCGGCCAGTGAGGGATGCCAGTGGTCGTCCCTGGTCCGGGGAAGCAGGAGCACCATCGCCAGCATGAGCCCTTTGACAAGTGTGCCAGGCCCTCCAGCCTTTTCACGGCAGAACTGGTGGATAATAAAGTCCCTTTGGGGGAAGGGGTTGTGACTCACGGGAGGGACACAGGCCTAGGCTAGGGATGGGTCCAAGCACAAAGTCTGGCAGGGGCACAAAGGCACCACTGGCCTCATAGTTCTACGTACGCTATAAGGCTTCCTGTTTGCCAGTTAAGACTTGGGAGTGCGCTCCCCACCGCGGCCCTTCATCAGCTCCCGTGCTGGCTGGGAGTGACATTAGCAGGACCAACCTGGTGTTGAGGGGAGGCGGCCGAGAGGGAGTGGCAAGCGGCTGCGGCCTTGCCCCCAGCTGGCTTCTTGGACCAGCAGCAGGGCCCAAACCGGGAAAGAGGGCCTGCCCGGTTCGACGTGAGACCTAGGTACCTGCCTCGCGGTGAGGCCGGGGTGGGGGGTCGGGGGTCCTGCTGGCCGCACCCTGGACCCGTCTCCTCTGGGTCAGGCCCGCTCAGCACCTTGCCCCGACCCCCGCTTGGCACAAGTCAGGCTACATTCTCAGTTTCACATCAGTCTTTTATTATAACCGCACTGAATGGGATCGCTCTGCCAAAAGGATAAGTCATTTAAGTCCGTGTGAGTAACAGGCTAAAGACGAACGAGAACAGAGCAACAGGATAGGAATGGCACAACAGGCTATTCCATAAATCACGTGAACTGTGCCGTCGCGAGACAAAATGATGACAACTTCTACATCAAAGCGGTCTCCAGCCTGTTTACAGGAACTTTTTATTTCTTTTCAACACGATAAAAAGAGAGCTCTGAAAGTAACCAGCGGGAGCAGTGACGGCCTGTGAGCAGGAAGCCCGGCTCGCCAGGTGCTGCCCTTAACTCATCCTGGCCTCTCCCCGCCCCGCGGGCCCCCAGCACCCCTGCTCTGGACACCCGGGAGGCGGGAACGGCCACCCCGAGGGCCCGTGTCCCCCCCACACTCGGGTTCTGTAACAACCCCCCAGGGCGGTTTCTTAATAAAAAAAGTAAATGTGAGTCAACTCCGGCAGGTGACCTATCATCGGCAGACAACATAACTGCCACCAAGTTTTAGGTTTGCTTTTCGTCCCCGACGAAGTGGAGGAATCGTACGTGTGGGTGGTGGGCACTCTGCCCCCAAGGACCGACGCACGGGACTGCGCCTCGTCGGATGCAGAGTCGGCAAAGCACAGGGAGGCCTGGGTTTATTTTTAGTCACCCTCAATCTGCAGTGATACTATTTCTTACCAGATTGCAGTTAGTGGTGAGCATTAGCAGGAGGCCATCTTTGGAAGAATAATCCAGTACAATTAAATGTTTAAAGTGTTATCATGACCCCTGGGCATATACAAAAGGTAAGGCAAAGTCATGACGACTTTCTTTCTCTAATCTGTAGCTCTCAGACGCAATGTAGAGGTAAATTTTAACTCAGATTTCCAAACTGATTGGAGAGGAATGCATGAAACACAGGCACATGTATTAAAAAAGTGGATGACGATGAGAATGCATTTAAGCTTTACACATATAAAATATATTTAACTGTTAATAATCAAAACATGAGCGGGCTCCACTGATTATACTTGTTAAAGGAAAACAAAAAGGTTTCATATTCAGGATTTTAAAAAAATGTGCATTTAAACGTTAAGTACCTGATAAAATCATAAAAAAAACCATTCTTTAATAGCACTGTAACTAATAAAAATGCAAACAATGCTCAAGTATGCAGAATAAAAACAAGTCATTAAAAAAGATTAAGAGAGTAATACAATTCTCAAACCCCCACGGACCTATGAGGATTTGAGGGTGGCACTGCTCACATCCCACCCAGCCTCGTGTTTCTTTCCTCTGAGGAGGGAGGGGCTTGTTGGGGACCACAGAAGCAACACCTCTGAGTGACCCCACTGGGTCTCACGTGGCACCAACATGGAAGCACAGAATGGAGGGACCCGCCCCTTGTGTGCTGGAGCACTGGGAGAGTTCTGGGACCACTAAACATCTAGCCACCTGCAGGGAAGGAGCCTAGAGCCTCGTCAGGGTGGCGGGTGTCTGGAGGCTAAGGCTACTGTGTGCTCGGTGACACTGGACTATCAGGACTCTAGCTCTCAGGGTGAAGGAACTGCTGAAAGTGAGTAGATGGCTGTGACCCACTGCCCAGGGACAGCCATCTCCATGGCTCTTTCCAGCTCGGGCGTTGGAGCCCTGGTGAGGGCAGCCCCACACTTCTCACCTTAGAACTGAAAACGCTGACAACTTGCCGAGCCAGGTCATCTGAGAGAAATAATAGCAACGTGTGCAGTTGCAAGGCCAGTCACTATAGGGGGGCCTAGGGAGCGAACAAAGTGTCCTCAAGGCGAGCGACACATACTTGGCAGTAACTAAGTCAGTGAGTCACCCCCAGGGCGTGCTGAGCAGACCACTCCATCAGGGAGCCAGGGAGCTCATCAGCAGGTCTTGGAGGAATCATGGAGAGCCCAGCAACCCTGTCACTTGAGCAAAAGCAGAGTTATTATTCATCTTCCATGCTCACGTGTTCACAGATTCTCCTGCTAGAGGCTGAGAGCAAACTGTAAAGCTAACTGGAACCTTCTGTGCAGCAGCTGACTCCGAGTCCTCACTGCATTCTTGGAGAGCACATGGGGAATCAGGGTGTTATCAGACTGCGGAGAAATACACGGTTAGCAGGGGAAGGACTGTAAACGGTGTGTGTTCTTCCAAATTTAGCTTTCCACTGGTTCGCATGAAAGCTTCCACTGCCCACAGGCCTTGCCATCCTTAGAGAAGCCCCGAGCGGAGCAGTGGTCACTGCAGGGCAGGGGCTGCCCCCAGGGGAGGTGAAGGGCACTCTGGAGCTCCTGTTAGAATGCCTGTTTGAGCAAAGCACGGGACAAGTGTCCTTTGCATGGCTTTTCTTCTCAAGGAGAGAAACCACTCCTGGGACTCTGTCCAGCATGATTCCATGAGCTGCCGACCAAAAGGGGGAAATCTCTATCATGTGCTGAAGCGTGTGAGAGCTGGTCCTGCCCCGGCGGGGGTGCCTGGGACACAGGGCGTAAGTGAACCCATGCCCTGCAGCTCCCGTGCCTGGCACCCAGCGAGGGAAGGGCTGTGCAGAAATCCTGCACCTTCCTGACACCTGGAGTGTTCTGTGGGAAGCCCTGCTCCCCCAGAAGGGACTCCTATTACTGTTACTTTAAGGCCAATGGGAGATCCTGACTCTGGATGGGAAGGAGCTTGGGTTTTTCCCTCTCCTTCTCAACTGACAGGTGTGTTCCAGCGCCAAAACTACAGAAACTCTACCAGAAAATTACTGAGATGTATGTCCCACAGTGAAGGTCACATTTTCTCCAGGAAGTAATATTCTTATGACTTTTGAAATCAGTGCAGCAAAGACTGGCTTAATGTGACCTTGTTTTCTGGTTGTAAAAGATTCTAAAGGGTGAAATACAATCAGCTGAGGAGGGACAGCGATGGCCAGAGTCCATCTGGCCTGAGGTTTGGAAGTATACTCTTTAACAAATGAAGAAATCTAGACCCCATCGCACCTAAATAGAATTCCTAAGTTTAAACCCTGTTTCTAAAGATCATTGTAACTTTCTGAGAGGTCAGTGATGGGTTTTCTCCAGCCCTGGAATCCACCAGTTGTGGTCCATTCTGTTGTATTTGGCTCTGCTGTATGGCTTCCCAAAGGAGGAATGAAAAAGGCTGAGATACAGATTTTCAGAGAGAAAGCCTTCTTGATATCAATTTTCCTATGCCTGATGGTCCAAGGGAGGGAAGATTTGAAACCAACTCTTCTTCCTTCTTCTAGTTATAACAGATGGGGTTGCCATACCTAATTCTTAGCTGGGGAGAAGGGGACAGAGGAAAAGTGATTCTCATTTGGTTTGGTCTTTTTTTTGACAGTGAGCCTGATACCGGATACTTAACCCTGGTCTACCTCAGACCAAAGGTGAGGTGGGATGCAGAAAGGGCCCAGAAAGCCCTGTCTGCATTTGGGGACCATCAGTCTGTGTGCTTTGTGGCCGTCTGCCTCTCTCTAGAGGGTTCCGATGGGTTGTACTAAGGCCACAGGCATGCTGAGAAAGAAGTGTTGGTTTCAGAGGGGTCTCCCGCTGAGGAAGCCTCAGTTGGGCCCTGGGGCTGTTGAGGGGGGCGCCCAATCCCCACAGAAGAGACCAGGGGCCCTGTGGTCAGATGTCCAGGGGGCTCACAATAGTGAAGCCAGAGTCCTTGCTGTTGCTGCTGCTGTCCTCATCAGGGCTGGAGCTGGGGTTGCTGGAGGAAGCCGAGGCGGGGCCCATCAGAGGGTCGGAGAACACCAGAGGTGAACGGGCCAGGGGCTCACTTCTCCCACAGGTGCTGCGGAGGGTGCGAAGAGGCTGGGCCTGGCCTGAGAAGGACCCCTTGGCACTGCCCCCCTCATCTTCTTTGGAGACCAGGATGAAGTCGTCTGCACCCCCTCTGTCCATGTGCCCTGGTGTTTCTGAAGAGGCCTGTGAAGTACAGTCAGAAGAACAGTTGGATGAAAGAAGAATCCAGTGAAATGAGAGAACTAAGGAGCAACCCTGTGAGCTGGGAGCTTCCTGAAAGTTTAAGCCCTGTGCTCTTCCTTGGAAAGCTATGGTGTTTGATCTTGCTTCCCTGAAGCCGTTGGGACGTCCCAGTGCTGTGGGGCCAGTTCCTCTGAAGCTGGATGCTGGGTTCCCAGGGCAATAAAGTAAACATCCTACTTGGTAAATTAAGAGAGGCCGGCTCAGGAGGTAGGCGGCAGGCTGCACATGGAATCCCCACCAGCTGGGGCACCTGGGGGACAGATTCAGTTGGTTAAGTGTCTGCCTTTGGCTCATGTCATGATCTCAGGGTCCTGGGATCAAGCCCCACGTCAGGCTCCCTGTTCGGTGGAGAGTCTGCTTCTCTGGCTCCCTCTGCCCCTCATCCTCCACTCATGCTCTCACTCTCTCTCTCAAATAAATACAATCTTAAAAAAAAAAAAGTGCCAGCTTCATGTGGCACCTTGCCATGCGAATCATTCATCTTCCTTGGACTTTCATTTTCTCACCTGTGAAATGGGGACAAGGACAGCCTCTCTGACTTAGCATGTGGTCACCATGCAGAGAGATGATGTGTGGACGTGCACAGGACTGGCTGTGAGCCCACATCTACAGTGATTCTACTACCTGCTTAAAGAGCTTCAGGAAGGCCCAATGTAGGTGTCTCCTAACCAGGTCATCACGGGCATGGATTTAGGGGTCTCCTGGGACAATGGTGGTAAACATGAAAACCAGGAATAGCAACTGCAAATTAATGGCAAAAAACATATAGAGATAATTGTCTTACAATTTTCTTTCCTTTCTTCTTAAGCAATTATGAGTAGTGTTTGTTTTTTAACTAAAGCAGCAATGTCCACAATAGCCAAACTGTGGAAGGAGCCTCGGTGTCCATCGAAAGATGAATGGATAAAGATGTGGTTTATGTATACAATGGAATATTACTCAGAAATGACAAATACCCACCATTTGCTCCAACGTGGATGGACCTGGAGGGTATTATGCTGAGTGAAGTAAGTCAATCGGAGAAGGACAAACAGTGTATGTTCTCATTCATTTGGGGAATATAAATAATAGTGAAAGGGAATAGAAGGGAAGGGAGAAGAAATGGGTAGGAAATATCGGAAAGGGAGACAGAACATAAAGATTCCTAACTCTGGGAAACAAACTAGGGGTGGTGGAAGGGGAGGAGGGCAGGGGGTGGGGGTGAATGGATGATGGGCACTGAGGGGGACACTTGATGGGATGAGTACTGGGTGTTATTCTGTATGTTGGCAAATTGAACACCAATAAAAAATAAATTTATTATTAAAAAAAACAAAAAATAAAAAATTAAAAAGGCTGACATCTATGAACACCAGTAAAGGTTTTGGGTTAAACCCAGAGAAGCTCCTGCGTACCCTGGGACAGAAGAGGGACACCTGGACAGGTGTAAAGCTACAGTCTGACCAAGGATGTTCCAAAGCCAGCCTGACAGAAAAAGTGCTGACATAAGCTGACATAATGCCCCCACCTGCTCAAGCACCCACCTGCCTACTCTCCCACAGCATGGGTAGGGACTGGCACCAAAGTCTGAAGTCTGACAAGATGTACAGAGTCTCCAGGCTGGAAGTGCCCCCTGCGTCCTCTAGCCTCCAGGCTGGTATGGCCTAGGCCACCTGTGGGCTATGGGCAGAGCCCGGACAGGTAGTTGGCAACACTTCCAAGGGCAATCTGGGCCTGCCAGTCTTCTCTCTGAACTACATGTTCTTGGTGTCATGGCAGGAGTGGGGTGCGGGGGTGGTGAGTGGCTAAATGATGGTTTGGGTGCCTCATCCTCTGACCATTCATCCCCTTTTAAGATCTTTAATTGGGAGAAGAGAAATCGAATTAGCATTAAGATCACACTGCTGAAACAATAGGCCTTGAGGCTCTTCATCTCTAAATTTAAAGCTGTTTACATTCTAGCAACACATTAATGCTTACAAAACTGAAGAGCTACACAGGACATGGCACTGTGGTAGAAGGGGACGTGATCATAACTGGCTCCAGGACAGTTTGGTAGACAAAGGCTGTGCGACCAGAAGGTGCACTCGGGCAGGGCTGTACCACCCTGCAGAGGCTGGCTTGTCCTCCCATGCATTTGCACATGGGGTACACAAAAGGCACATGGGGTACACAAAAGGCTGTGGGGGACCTCAGCTTCAACTTTCTACCTCCAAAGTGTGTACACTACTCCTAGGACTGCTGTCCTGAACTGTAAACTGTAAGGTGAAAACCTTCACTTCTCAGCCCATACAAGGTCTCTGGCTAAGAGTGCTGCTTGGTAGAGCTTATCTTAGTATGAAAATAAAAACAGCATGTACAGCAGGCCCTATTTCCAGAGTGGTGTCTCTAACACAGAAATACCATCATCACTTATTCTCCTTTAACTTACAGTGAATACATCACAAGATGCTGAAGAGGAGAAATAGGTTACAAAGCCTGTGCTTGGAAGTAAAGATGGTTCCCACTGTCACTATTTCTAGGAAAGTATTGAAGTCAAGTTACAAATTCTGGGTAACCCCTCCGCTCCCCATTCCCAGATAAAATCATGGACCGACTCAAAGCACAGTACTGCAGATCATAAAACAAAGCCCGTATCAGAAGTATGGTGGCTTGGCCAATGTCACAAAGCAAATGAAAAGATCTCCCTCTTCTGGACTCCTACCTAGAACTTTTTTCTAGACACAAAGATGCTTTCTTTCTAGATTTCCATATAGCCTTAGCTACTACCTGGTTCTATTTAGATCATTTTGGAAATTCCTAGGTCAATCCTCTCTTTTTGCCAAACACAAGATGTACTATACAATGAAAGAAGTTTTCGACCTGTCAGTCTTGTCTAAAATTGGCCAGGACCACAATATACAGCACAACTCCCCCTAACCCTGCTAATCACCCTGCTTCATTTCTTACCCTGAGTCTAAGATCATGGAAGGTAGAAGCAGGTGAGCCCAACTACAGACCAGCTGTTCAACAGACACACATTCTATAGTGATGGAAGTATTCTCCTTCTGTGCTAATACAGTAGCACCCAGCCACACATAGTTATTGAGTACTTGAAAGGTGGCTAGTGTGATGGAGGAACTGTATTTTTAACTTAATTCTATTTAATCTTAATGAGTTTGATTTTAAACAGACATGTGGTTACTGGCTACTGAATTTAGACAATGTAGCTATAGACCATACAGATAAAAATAGGGGCCCCAAGCCGCAGGGAGCCATATTAGTTAATAGGGGCTGGCTGACTAGTGAGTCCAGGTCCTACAAGTCCTGGCTTCTACTGGCATAGATTTGAGTCAAGCTCAACAAAAACCTCCCAGAGGAGTATGTGAAGGAAAGACTCTTGGAGAGAGGGACAGAATGTGGCTCTCTTCACTCTACAGAAGACAATTTTGCACCTACCATTTTTAGAGCTGGACATAACATTTGTTAAATGGAAAAAAAAAAAGTATTACATCCCCACCAACATGCCAGTGGGGAGCAGGGTACATGTATCTCCAAAGGAGCCCTTCTGAAGTTCCTGATGGGGAAGGGCACTGGCAGGGGGACCCTGAGCCACCTACCCCAAGGCAGGTGAGCCTGGTCCTCTGTATTATTCTTCACACATAATTTAATGCTAAATCAAGAAAGCAAAAACATTTCTAAGTTAGGAATGAACTGTAGTACAACCTACCACAGACCCAACATTGTGGTGATTACATCTCCAGAAAATGTCACAAAAGCCTGCCTAGCACTGCCCCACCCTCAGGCCCTCCGTTTAACTGGAAGCTCCTGAGCGGAGGCTACATCCCATAACCCTGACTACCCAGTACCTGGCAGAGCAAAGACCCTCAGCTCCCATCTGGGAGGCTGGAGGGGAAAAGCCTCCAGAATCCCATTGGGTACCATGTTCCTATCCATAGCCCACCCCTGTCCCCGCAAGCAGTGAGAAAGTCAGCCAGCCAGCTCTGAGCCCTGTCCACCACCCAAGGCTTGGGAAAGATGGTGGGTCAAGACTTCCTCTCAGGGCTGGGGGGCTGTGTGAGTCTAGTCCAGATCCCTGGGTGCTACAGCCCAAAGCCCTGGACACTCAGCTTTCTGCAGGAGTCGCTGCTTCACCTGGGACTTCACTTGCCTTTCTTCCCCTGAACATGAGAGGAGAGCACTGCTTCCCTACTTTTCCCTTCCTCAGGTAAAACCTCTTTCAGGAGGACAGATTTTTTTTTTTTTTAAATAAACTGCTAACACCCTCGAGAAAGAAGCCATGGCAGGAATGAGAAAAGAAGAGCCCTTTGATCTGCCCTTTCCCTACTCTTCTCCTTTTCCACTTAGCCCTACACAGGAACAGAGATGCCCAAAAGGCAGCAGTGGGGTATCTGGGCGAAGACTGGGTTGATTGTGTTTGAGAAGGACATGCAGAGGCAAAAGGCCTCTTGGATGCTGTACAGGAGTGCAGCACTGCCTGCCCAAGGGCATGTCCTATTTCATGTCACCTACATTTCATGGCTGGTGCACCTCAGTAGGCACATGGCGACAGGCAGGTTCTTACAGATATGAGAACCTGGAAAAACAATGGAAGTATAATCAAGAAGCTTTAAATTTAGCAAATTCAGTAGTGTTCTTGAAAGGTAATGTTTCAGTAACATTTGTATACGTTCAACTAAAAAAAATCATGCTAAATTTTAGAATAAAATTCTTAATTAAAAATGGTTGGGGAGGTGAGCTTAAGCTCAATGATATTTGAATAAAGAAATGATTACTGAAAAACTAAACATCTGTTTAGGGAAGGAGAATCTGGAAGAACTAATTAAATTAAACTTGCAATGTTAATTCTCTGTGAGGTCAAACATGCAGACTAATGGCTCTGAAAACTTCTTTTTAAAGCTGGATGAAATTAACCACATAAGGTTCCCTCTTCTTGAAAAGTACTCTTAAAACTAAAGATATTCCCATTCTAAAATATTTTTTTTTAATTGTAAAAAATAATCTACAAGCATCTGGATACTAGTTTTTGAAAAAAGAGCCTTAGATGAGGTTTTGGTAATGTTCATTTTTCAAGATGAAACTTCGTAAGCTATTTAAAAGTGTATTATTAGGAATTTTTAGTCCTATCAGATGAAGTATAGTGAGGAAACATGGTGGAGCTGGAAGCTTGCTGGATTGGGATAGGAGTTCTGAAAACATGATGCCTAGAGAATCTGTGTACCTCTTGGGCCTTCATTTTCTCACTGGTAAAATAAGCAGACAAGACTAAGTCAACGAGGAATTTCTTGGATCCTTTCTCACTGGAGAAATCTGTTTCTATGTTAGAATAAATTACACACAATGTCAGCACCTTGAGAGCAGAGGTCAGCAAACTATGGCCCATAAGCCAAATCTGGTCTGTGGCCTCTTTCCATAGGACTCTCAAGCTGAGACCAGCTTACATACTTCTAAAGGTAATAAAAACAAACACACCAAATATAAAAACATATGTGACACAGACCATATGTGGCTTATGGATCCTAAAATATTTACTATCTGACCCTTTATGGAGAAAGTTTGCTGACCTCATTCCCTTAGAGGATGGACATTAATGAGAAGCCCTTCTCCATGAAGGCAGAAAAGGTTGTAGACAAGTGAAGTCCACTAAGGACAGCATTAAGAAAGCACAAACAGTACTTTTTGTACTAATAGGGAATGCAGGCATCAGCAGGAGGCAGCCAACGGATAGCTGAGGCAGAGGTCTGACTTTCTAAGGCCACACAGCAGGCCTGGCAGGAGGTTCAGGCTAAAGCTGCTGCATACGGGTATGTATGTAGGTTGTACCTTGCACAAATCTATGAGTTAACAGTCTAATTATTATCATTGTGAATGGCCTCCCAGGGGGCACTGGAGTACAGAACTTGCACAGCTGTATAGGACCTCTGGTTCAGGCCACTGGTGGTATTTTATAGTTGAACTTTGCACACGGTAATTTGAAATGACTCTGGCAGTTTTTGTTATTCACAGCTTTGAAGAACTTATGTGAATGTGCTCCCATCAAGTTAATATGACATTGTTCACCAGAGCTCTTATACCTGCTTGGTGGTCCTAAGCATTTGGTCGCTCTGGCCCTGGCCTTGGCCACTGGAGCAGTAGTGGTCATCTGAGATGGTGATCTGTTCATTCTCCTCAGCTTCCAGCTGACTCTGGTTGAAACGCAGGGAACCTTTAAGAATGTCTTTGATCTAGTTTTCAAAAAACAGGAAAATAAATGAAAGGATAAATTGTTTTGCAATGCTAGCAAAACCTCTAATACATTTAAACTAGACTTACTCACTGACCATCTTTTAGTAGCATGGATATTAATATATAACCATAAGAAAGGAATTAACAGGAAAAAAAAAGCCCCAACTCTATCAAAGCCATGGGCCAATTAATAATGACCAAGGAAAATTTCAGTCTTAATGGCTAGGTTCTCACAGGGTTAGCCTGGGAGCAGTTATCCTAGAGCAGAAAGTACCATTTGCCTACACACCCAGCCCTGCTGAACAGCCCTCAGCTCCCCAAGTGGCTACACCCAAGCTGAGCTGTTAATAACAAAGGCAGACATCTGAGAGCAGTATGCTCTTTTCGTTAACGTGTATGTTCCACTCAGCCCTTCAAGGGATGGGTAGATGTGGTCCTTGTGGGTCAGACCTGCTGTGGGTGGTGATGGAACTTGTGTTCCAAGGATAGCATATTCTATGGATGAAAAACTGAACATGCTGCTGGACCACACAATACCAGCTCTAGGTAAGGAACAATGGCTTTGGTAAGTGGAAGAAGCAAGGGTGGGAACAGAAAATTAGCTTGGGCTGCAAGCTAGTCAGACATAATCACTAGTAGGAGCAAGAGGTGTTAAGGAGGTGGTGATTCAGGTTGGGCTCTGCTTGGGAGGAAATGAGGGGCTGGTGCTAGTATCACGGTATGCCATGCCACAGGGTGCCCTCCCCAGCAGGCACTAAAAGAATGGCCAGATCAAATGCACATACCTGTTTTAATCCTGCCAGAGAAACCAGAATTTGATCTTCTTTTTCCAAATTTTCTTGTAATATCACATCTTGAATATTTACTGAAAATAGAAGAATGACATTTTATAACTAATGCTGAGTATAACTTAACCTACCTATCACACCATAACTTGCTTGGAAATTTTTCTGTCCCATTTCATAGCAAGTATTTCCACCAAGGATGCTCTGTCCAAATGCAGATGAGGCAGGTGTGCAGGAGAGGAGAGGAGAGAGCACTGAGCCCAGTACGCACAACCTTTCTGCCAATGAGACACGAATACATTCTTATGATGACAGATACGTCTTTACTTCCACAGGGAGACCAGGGCACCTCCTGCTAACCTCTGAAGTGAACAGCCTAGAGCATTCATCCAGCCTCTGGGAGGAAGCAGTTCAGCCTGGGCTTCCTACACTGTCTCATGGTTCAATGATGGTAACTCACCCCTCTCTCTCTGAAGACCAGGCCCTTCCAGGTAATGAAGTAATCAAGACACTGTCTTTAAAGATTTAAACAGTAAAGCATGTTGTCAGTTCAACAAAATGGTAAGAATAACCTTCTTCAACATAACATTCATCAACATTCTTGTGATTATGTCTGACTAGCTTGCAGCCCAAGCTAATTTTCTGTTTCCACCCTTGCTTCTTCCTCTTACCAAAGCCATGGACAAGCTCAAGGAGCTACATGGTGCCATGGGACAACAATGCCTTTGGAATCAGCCTGACTTCACCTGGGGTCTCCACGGGAGTACTACTTCTCTAAGTCCTCTGGGAAGCTTACCTTCCACATGAGAAGTCCTTTATCCAGACCTGATCTGAGAGATCTAGCAAGTGAGCTATGACTGCCAGGCTCAGCACTACACTGAGCTTCCCACCAATAGGGTGAACACACAGTGGTCCTCAGCGTTCCCCCACCGCATGCCTGAGGGATACACCCAGGCCCAGGAGTGGTGGGGCGCACTAAGCCCGGATTCTCAGGAGAGCTGAGGGGGAGGAAGCAGAGCCCTCTCCCTACCCCAGGGCGAGGCAGGAGAATGCAATGGTGGGGAGGACTAAAACACATTTTAAAAAAGATACCTCTACGCACACCAGTTGGAGGATCACTACAACAAGTAAGCTTATCTTCTATTAACGTCTCCTTTCCTATTTTGTGGCCTTGGATCACATCTTCTTATAGGGCCTTACAGATGCCCCACACTTAATAATTCACTCAGTAAGTGTCCCAGTCTGAATGTGGGACTCCTCAATTCCATGCCTGGCCCCCAGCCAGACCTGTGTATCACTCCCTGCTTGCTTACCCCCTGTTCTGCTGGTAGCAGCAGCAGAGTCAGCACACTCTCCTCCTGGCCTGCAGGCTCATATCCATGCAGACCGGCTTTTCCTCATTGTTCAACTCTGGTCCCATGTTGCCTCCTCATAGCAGCCTTCCCACCCATCTGGCCACTGCCTTGTCATCTCTTTCTCCTGTACATATTTCACTAGGCACTTGTCACCAGCTGGCATTAGCACATGCGTTTGTGGGCTTATCTGTTGTCCATCTCTCCCAAGAGGGTATCAGCTTCAAGACTGTCTTGTTCAGGGGTATAGTCTCAGCGCTTAGAATGAGGCCTGGTGCATTTCAGGTATACAGTTAAGTAATAATGGACTCAACAAATGGGACTTGCATTTCAAAACACCGCTATGGTAAATATTTCCAAAAGTATTCCCTGCAAAGGAAGAGGCAAAGACTGATACCATCAACATGAGCCTAGCCTGACAATCTGTTGGAATCTTCAACGAGAGTAAATCTCTAGACCACGCTGACAAGTCCTCTTTCATTCCACAGCAGAAAAACAGCAGCTTTTATTTATTCAGAAAACGTGACTGTAGTTTCTGGCTAATATAAAGGCCCGCTTCAAAACAAGAAAGCAAGATGAATGGGAATGGAATAATAGATATAATTAGAGAGTGAATGTTTTTGGTTTCCTTAAAAGCCTGTAACAATTTGTTCTCTCTCAACAAAAAAACAACACAGAATCCACTCAACAAGACATAAACGACAACCAACTGCAGGGAACTGACAAAAACCAGTTATATAGGTCTTTTAGAAGATTGCAAAGGTGGCTTTTGTTTTTATGACCACTAGGGTTTTTAAGGCAGATGTCTGAGGGTCTCGGGCTGCCTGGGGCAGCATGGCACGTAGTAGCTGGGGAGTTTGGTGGGGTGGTGAGTTCTGCCCCACTGAGCTGCAAGGTGGGCCAGATTTCCCAGCCTCTGCTATGTAAATGGGGACAGCAGGGGAATAACTCCTGGACCTTGAAGGAAAGCTCACCTAATGGATGCAGGAACACTTGGGACATCTGGAAGAAGCATGGGGAGCTTCTTGAGTTCAAGGAGCTAATGGAGAGGAGGCCACTGGAGGCCATGCCCAACAAATCAGGATGGGGGCAAGGAAAAGAGGAAACATGCACAAACCAAATGTGCCGTATCCTGCTGCCATGACTCTATCTACACTTCCTGCCCACCCCTTTGACAGTTTGCTGTGGAACATATCCTGAAGCCAAAGATTTGGCCAAATTGCCTGGCTGCTGCCTCCAGTGTAATATGGGGTAACAAAGTCAACAGCAGTCAACAGTCAACAAAGATCAAAGGCCTTTAGGGTCATGGGCTACAAGCTAACAGGGCAGTCAGTCAGTGACTCCAGTGGTGACAGAAGCTGGTAACTATGCAGGAATAGAGCTTTCCTTAGAGGCCAACAAAGACGCAGAGGGCACTCAGCAACCCTTCCTCAAATACCCAGGAAATATGAGCCATCCCAGCACCCAGACACCATCTTGGCAGGGAGAAGAGACAAAGTAGAGAAACTCTGTGGGCATTTGTTCAGATGAGATGGTTACTTGTAAGAGACCAAATTTAAGACCAATTGGCAGGTTTAAGCCTTGGATTGCCATTGGTGGGAATGGAACTTTAGAGTGAGACTTCTGTGTACCTGAGTTTAAATATATGATTCATTATCTCACTACAGAAGTATCAGTGTCTACTCGAGATGATATAAGATAGTATTGGCCACGTTGCCTGAAAATCCCAGGAAACAAGTCACCCCAGTGTCCTCTCTTGGGTACCACAAACCCGTAATACTTGAGTGGTGGTTGCATTGAAGGTGGAAGATGGCTGTAATGGTAAGCCAGAACAAGAGAAGCCTCTCGTCTTTCATTACAGGCCTAAGTGGGAATAATGCTCCATGATCTAAAGCCACTTTCCCCCATATGCTCTTGCTGGATAAAAGCATGAACAGCCAACAAGCCTGGATGCTCGCTACTGTACTGTCTCCTGGGTCTTGAGGTAGCTGAGCTGCTGGTGGGCCACCCTAGTTCCACCTTCCATTCCTTCCTCAACATGTCCAGGATCTCATTCAGGGTAACACCATGTGCATCTACCCTCACAGCCAAGGTTAGTCATGTGACATAGCTCTGGCAAACGAGGTGTAAGAAACATCCCTGGATGGAGCTTCTGGGAAGCTCCTCACGGAGTCTGACTCAGTTTGTGCCTTTTGGACCTTTACACTTCCACCTCTGGTACTTGAAATGCTAGCAGGAGCTCCATAAGTCATCTTACAAGCATGTGGATGAGGATCACAGCTTAAGGACTTTGGGCAGTAAACCAGAGGGAGCTGGGGGCATTGGGCACATCATGGAGCTGCTATGCTTGCTTGGACTGCCTACCTCCAGGCTTATGTATTTAAAAGAAAAAACCCACAAAACTTCCTGATTTGTTTATTCTACTGCTTTTTGGGTTTAGGTTTGTGTCAATTTCCCTTTTTTTAAATATGGGCACCAGTCACTGGATTAACTAAGTATCACCTTGTCCCAACTTGAATATATCTGCAAGGACCCTATTTGCAAATAAGGTCACATTCACAAGTTCCAGATGAACATGAATGGAGGAGGAAAGTGAAGTGGGGATCACTATGCGACCTAGTACAGTAGCCAAACTGGTTCACTGTTACACAGGATACAAACCATCCAGTTTCTCTAACGAAAGGGGACTGAGACATTCCTCCCAATCTCCTCTCCTGCATGCAGAGTTCAATTTTACATTCCAGGCTGGCTCCGGCCTGCTATGCAATGTGACTGGCCAAGGGTACCAGGGAGGGAGAAGAGCCCAGAGCCATAGTATCCTCGGAAGGAGACCCTTACCGAGAATTCTTCAGCCTTATTTTTCAGAGAAGATCAAAGATCACCTTTTTATACAATCTAATGGAAACCAGGACCTTCTACCCTGAAAACCCATACACACACACACACACACACACACACACACAGAGAGAGAGAGAGAGAGAGAGAGAGAGAGAGAGAGAGAGAGGATATTCATTTAATCTTAAGTCTGTTACAATCAACTAAGCTGACTAGGCTCAATTTAGGAAATCCAGGGCAGCCCGGGTGGCCCGGTGGTTTAGCGCTGCCTTTAGCCCAGGGCACGATCCTGGAGGCCCTGGATCGAGTCCCACATCAGGCTCCATGCATGAAGCCTACTTCTCCCTCTGCCTGTGTCTCTGCCTCTCTCTCTCATGAATAAATAAAATCTTAAAAAAAATTTAGGAAAGCCAGCATATAGAAATCCAAATCTGAAACGAATAATAATTCATTATGTTAATTGAACTTAAATTAAAAATAAATAATGAAAGTTTCAAAAAGGGAAAAAATAAAACAAAAGGGTACTTTTGAAGGCTGTTAAATGTTTTGAATACAAGAATTTTGATTTTACTAATAAAGTACTGGCTATGTAAATCCTTTGCCTAATATTGATTTAAGGTAGCATTTATGAACATTCTACGAATATATAACTTCTCAGTAATAAATCTACTGCTTGAAGTTGCACCTGCATGTAAAAACAGAAAAACGTAATGATTTTTTTATGCCTTAAAGTACTAAACGCAGAGATATGAAATGTTTAAATTTCTAATGTAATGCACATTTTTTCTTATAGCAAGAGGCAGAATAAATTATGAGATAAAGGCTCTTTTTGTTTCTGTGTAGAAGAAAGATTATGTTCTTTATAATCTACTTAAGTTTTATAGATTATAAAT